AATCACCTACAAAAAGAAACAGATGTGGTGAACCCAAACATTTTGTAGATGTAAAAAATAAAGAAAAAGACCTGTGTGTATGGGTGAGAGTCTGTGTGTATGTGTAGCACTCAATGAGCTGAGAGAACATCTGATTAATTACCATGGAGGAAAGAGAGCCTCTCCAGTGACTGGCCAAGCAGTTCTAAAAGCTCATTCTTCTTCACTGTAAAGCTCCCTCTATGTCTCTTTTGGTCTCTGTTTCACTATTCTGACTCACAATATACATTTTGGGAATGTATTTTGTTTGCATTGATGTACTCTATTGTGAAATACAGTAATACTAAGATATATTTTGCTTAAACAAGTCTTTGGGACATAACCGGTAGGAAAATTAAATCTTATGCCTTTACGTAGCATTTTAGCAGCCAAACGTTTGTGATGAAAATGTCACCAAGAGTCCTAGTAACTGCTACACCGTGTATTGGGTCACACGCACAAGTATCTCGCAGGAAATCTGGTGGACTGCTCTGCAGAAGGAAATACTATTACTGTATGCTACAAAGCAGTAAGAGGACGGCTGCTCTTCTAGCACAAACAGATAAAGTCTTCAGAGTTTCTCGCAATGGCAGATGGTGGGATAAGTGAAAGCCAATGGCAAAACCACTTCCAACATGTTTATCTTCTTTAGTCAAGCAAACCCAAAACAAACGCAAATGGAGTAACACCAAGAAGAGAGAGAGGGGAAGAGAGGGAACACTGACTCTTCAATAAATGGTATGATTGTTTAATGGCTATTAGTCCAGCAGATGCTCAGTCAGCTTAGTGTAACAACTGCACTGTGAGATAGGACCAACTGCCAAACATTATGTAGAATGTAAAAGGTCAAACATGTTGGACCTACATATACACACACACCACTGCATCTTAATCGTCCTTTCTTGATGTTATTTGCGCTGCTTATCTTTCACTCATGTGCTACACAGTACCTTTCTCTCTTTCATGTTCACTCCACTTTGGTGTCTCCAGACTGATGGTTTTCTAACTGGTGGAGTGCCAGAGGTCATGGTTGTTATGGTAACCTGTCAGAGGCACTTGGAAGGGTTAGGTGGTGTTGCTAGTATAGTGAGGGTGGGAGGGTGCACCCACTGAAGAAAACTGAGGGCAGCACTCATTCAAGGCTTAGGTGGTTACTTCAGAAAACAGCCTCTGTGTGTGTGTGTGTGTGTGTGTGTGTGTGTGTGTCTGGCATCCTACACTAAATACTTGTTTTGTACATGCAGTTAAGTGAGTGAGTGCTGAAGTCGGAGAAAATGGTTTGACTGAGAAGACGTGAGGAGTGAGAAAGAAAGTGTGTGTGCTTATATACACGAGGCATTATCAACTGCTGTTCTCCACTTTAAAATCATCTGACAAACGTCCTTCTAGACATTTTTATCTTGCCACTTCTACTTCCATGCCCCGTTTAAGTCGCTAAGGCCCTCACATGTGCCCATTCATGTTGTCACTTGAAGTGTAGCTGCAGGAGGGTAAGCACCAGGATAATGATTGTATGTTCACCGTAAGTTATTAAAAATTGAAAATGCTTCTTTTTTTACACTATGATTTAGTCCTTCAGCCAAACTTTTTTCCTGGAGACATTATTTCTTTTAAAACTGTCTCTAGTATGGACAAAATATGTAGATGATGACAAAAACCTGGTTTGGGGCAGTGCAGGTGATCACACGGTAATGGCCTTATCATTAAGCTGAAAAAGGCTTGAAAACACTTATGTGGATGTACATTTGCCAAAAACACAGGGCTCATCAGAAGGACAGTGTACAACGGTAAGAAAAACATAGATAGGAAAGCAACGGGTCTAATGAGAGAGACAGTAAATTATTACAGTCAATGGAAATAAAGCTTGTGTTTATAGGAATGAATGCGAGAGAGAAAGTCTCTGTGCTTCTTTTTCAAAATGCATCCATGTTATTGTGTGTGTGTAATTTTAACCAAATATGTGGTCTCTGTTGTCTTTATGTATTTGTGTGTGTGCATGTGTGTAATAGGTTTATGTCTGGAGTAAACACACGGAATTGAGTCCATTAGAATTAAAGACAGTGAGCTAGTTGAGAAGCAGACAGTATGATCTATCACTGTGCTGTCATTAAATAACAGTCCTTCCATAATAGAGCAAATCACTAATAAATAAATCTCATGACACACACACACACAAATGCATATAGTCAGACATAAATATATACTGAGAAATGCAGATGACTATATTTTAAGACCCACACACTGTGTCAGCTGGCTGAAGAAACTGACATGAACTGTTGTTTGCTGTGTGTAACCTTGCTGTTTATGTGAATCAAAAACATGCCAGCCAGTCAACTGTGTTCACAGGAACACACAAATAAAGCAGGGGTATCAGTGAGTTTCAAGGTGTCTCTGGTGATGGGCAAGAATTTCCCAGGTGGTGCAAGGCTGATCTTCTCTAATCTTTAATACTACTTTGGAGTACTTATGGAGCTCTCAACAGATTTAAGTACTTTGTTCAGGAACAACAACTGATCGCTTAGTGTTTCTATCATAGAGATATGAAAGTATACTCTCTGCATTTATAAATGTCTTTAGTGTTTCACTCAGGCCTAGTCCCAGAGTAAAATCACAAAGGGGGCTTCTTGAATTAGTGGAGGTGCACCAGTAGCTCCAGTACACAGAGACTATACTGGTGAACAAAGACAATACACTGTAGAATACTGCTGATACACTGTCAGCTCCACTGTGTCTTACTGAGATTTAAACAAAATCTCATATACAATTACACATCTTGATTCACCATTAGTAAAAAAAAAAAAAAAAAAAAGACAGGTGGCACACAAACAATAAAAAAAATTTACCGTTCCATTAATAAATATCCAGTATTAATTTCTTAACTAACAATAAATAGCCAAAAAAAGCAGGAGGTGAAAGTAGCAACTAAATATTTAACAGCAGCATTAATGAAAAGTTGTGTCCTGTTTACCAAATATTTAAGCTGCTCTTGAATGTTTAATCAGCTACTAAACTGAGTAACTCACTATTTGTTAAGGTGCGCCTGTAAGGACTGTGCATCACCTGGGTCATCCTACAGTACTCATCCTTTGTTTGTGTCATACAGAGCAGTGTAGTGTGAGCTGGTGGCTGTGTATCCTTTTAACTATTGTCACTATCCAACATTATCAAGGATGAGCCAATGCCTGTTGTACTGTTTGAGTTTTAAAGACATCTTTAACAACCAAAACGTGCTTAAAACAAGCGGCTACTACATCTTACGTATATTCAGTATACAAACACACACAACTTTGTAGATTTGTGGGCTGCACACTGGTGGTGTTTCTGCCACTGCATCAATCTTAATGTGGTTGTGTGAAAATCGGTACGCTTCATTGCTCTGTCGAGGTGCTGATGGAACGGAGTCCTTAGTGATTTTGTTTATCTCCGTCTCCCACATGCATACTGCGGCTCTGGGCCCCTTTGACACACTGTAACATAGAGGCACACACATACAGACATTGCTGACACGCTACCTTCTTTTTCTGGCGCCATCGATTACTGTCAGCCAGTACCTGGCTTTCCTTCTGTCTGCATCATCAGGTTGCAGGAAGTAATGATAAATGAATAGCACTATCTGCCAGGATTGCTGTTGCCATGGATATAGGTTTCCAAAATCTAAGTATCGTACTTCTTTAAAAGTAAGAAAATAAGTCATAAATTAGCACTGTCACTATCTGAGCTCTGAAATATGCATATTTAATTCATCCAAATAATACTGTAAGCACATGAGAAATTATGGGATGTGTGAAGAGCTGGAAATGAAGAATAAACATTAGTTTTGAAAGGTACATTTTTGACAACATACATATTAAAGAGGAGACTGAAGTTTAAGTTGCATTTATCTATATTTAAACTATATACTTATATTTGATTATATTCAGTGGTTTCACCTTTGACCTTAGTACAGTATATTTCTTTTCAACTTTGCACTAAACTGGCTAAAACTAAAGTGAGATTTGAACTGTGCTGGATCCCATTCCCTTATGTATTAGCAAATTTTTTAACTGTTAATCGTAAAAAGGTCAAAGAAGTCTTGACTTGCCATAATGAATCACTTTTTGTACCAGAAAGAAACAATATGGAATAGGCAGTGTCAGAAAACATTTCAATGAAGCATGGAACTGTCCATCAAATGGGTTTGCTTTCTCATTTAAAGACGGGTACAGACATAAGGTGGATGTGTGAGGAATATGTGTACTCGTGGATATATTCAGCAGAGCTGTGACTCACATAATAAACTAAAGAGCAAGGACTGAGGTGTTTTTTTTTCCACTGAGATACACAGTTTGTCTCTCACACACTGTACTGTATGTCAGTGGACACTCGGAGTTAAGCTCAAAGCAAGCACAGACAATTCCATCATTCCTTTGTACAGACACACACACATACAGGCCTGCGGCAGATGAACATGATTTAGGCAGGGAACGGGAAATTAGAGGGAGAAATACAAAGATAATATTCCACTGTAAAACTGGAAATGGGATGGGAACGAACAGAGTAGGGAGACACAAGGTGGATTTAAAGAAGAACCAGTGGGGCTTATTTATCAACTTGTTGGGCATATTCATTGTGTCCACAAACTGTTTCTGATGACATATTTTGGCTCTACAACTGCTCTTGAGGGAGGTGAGCCCACACAGTGGCAACCCCTGTTATCCTTTGGTGCTGCACCCAGGGGCTCCCCGTCTATGTGAAGCTTCAAGATGGGCAGAGATTTATCCACAGGTTTAAAAAAACCCAATAACAATAACAATCCTTTATGAGATCTTTTACACACTAATATTATGTCTGAGACAGACTGATCAAACTGTATCAGTTCTGCAACTGTGTCAAAAATATTTAACCAAATGTCCTGTTACTGAAAAAACACACGGACACCCACAACCAAGAGATTTTTCCAGGCCTTTATAACATACATCTTGACAAAAGGCATAGTGTCTTACCTGTCATTGGTAGCAGCAGGAGCAGGAGGAGATGTGGTACCAGTTCCCCTTGGTTTGTTGACCTTGGCATACAGTCTGTCAAGGGGGTCATCATCAGGGCGGGCTCCAGGGTCATTGGCATGAATTCCCTGCCCTGGAAAGACAGAAGGTCGCTGGGGAGAAGGGGTGCGAGCACGTGCGTGCTGAACTACGCTGTAGGGAGGTGACTGAGGCTGCGGCACCGAACCCGTGCCTCTGTCCCTGAAGGATTTTATTCGGGCATAGTTGGGATCTGTGTCATCATCCTCCACATGTGGGTACGTAGACCTGCCACCACCACTTTGTTGGTCTCTGGTCCGGTGCTCTTTCAGCTCAGGATGTGATGCCTCGATTCTGACAGACAAATGAAGAGCTAGCTCATCTTTAAACAGCCAATGCAGAATGCAACTATTAGTTTAAGAATGGCAAGATTAAAGCAGTGAAGGACAGAAAGAATGGGAAAAAAATCACAAACAATAAAAAAAAGGAATGGTTCAAATGTGTGTGCAATCAGCTGTGATTAAGGAGGCAAACTAAAGGCTGTTCCAGACTGTTCCTCCATGAGGAGACACACCTACTCTGAACAGTATCTGAGTCTGTAGATCAGCAAATTAGAGCACGAGAAAATAAAATCATCTCATCCTCAGAACAGTCCCACCTCTCCCTCTCCTCTTTCATCCTCTCGAGCTCATAGTCGCTCAGAAGGTCTGACTTCTGTCGCTGAAGAGCCGCCTTTGACTCCTTCTTCTCCTCTCTTTTCTTTCCAAATCTGGACAGAGAGAAACAGAGATACAGACAGAAAGATCTGCATAAGAAACATAAAGAAATCTAGAGAAAAGTGGGCAAAACATCGCACTATAACAACTCTCTCAAGAGATTTCAACAGCTTTAAGCATAATAGGGTACTGTGGAAGCAGATGTGGAACAAACACCACGTTCACACTGTTTTTACAAGGGACACACATGGCTTATGTAAATTATGCACATGCAAACACAAACAGTGACATGAGCACAGATAGACACACTCTGTTATTTGGTGCAAGAATTCTGAACTGGCACATCCTGTAAGTGTCAGGACCAATAGTGTGTTAGCATGCATCTGTCTAACCTTTCCCTTACTGACACACACACACACACACACACACACACACACAAAGGTAAGCAGCTTGACAGACAAATATAAAGTGCCTGTACACTCACTGATTACTTTATCAGGTACACCTGCACAATTGTATGCAATTCAATGCAACACTTCCACCTTAACATCTGTGCTTATGAAGCTCGAAATGTTTCAGTTTTTGGTGAAATTGTCATAAATGTATTAATTGAATTATATGTTTATTATTATTCTTCATAGTTAAAGGTGGACTAAATAATATGTACAGCTGTCTCTATACTTTTGTCCTCCCCAGCTACATACATGAGAGGGTCATAATATTAGGGACAACTCTGAATATAATGTAGTCCAGTACAACACCACCTTTAACTATGACCTCAATAATAATATAATATACACACAATAAACTTTGAGGCCAGTTTTAAGTGGCCTCACATCAATAGTCAACATTTCATCATAAGCATATACTGTAGGTATGCATCTCACATGGTGATGCAAAAAGGTCCTGTACTAACAGAAACTCATAAAGCTTTACATTGCAGCAGCTATGTAATGAATAAGATATGGTTAACTGACCAAGTCATACCTACTAAACAGTTAATATCCCCAACAAACCACAGCCTTTATAACACGCGACATGTTTTATTTATCATGTACATTTACTGATGTGCTATCCTTGCGTCTACACTGCAGATGTTTATGAAGTAAACCTGCTAGAACATTATTTAAAACAACATTTATGGTTATTTTAAAGACTGTGATCTGACTTTTGTTGTTTTAACATGGGTACAGTATGACTGCACAATACTGTAGATGAAAAATGGGCCGAGGCAATAGGTTTCATTGAAATATTTAATGTGGACTGGGAGGTAAAGAAGCCTATTTACCTCCCATAGAGGGGGACTCAGTGGGCAATAAAGGGCAACAACCATGCATGTTTATTACCAGTGCACGTGTGAGCATTTGCCTCACGGGGGAGAAGCCTTGCTCTAATTACTGCTGTATAAAGAGGCATACCCTTTCCCTCAACCCTCTCTCTTATCCTTTTGCACCCTATATCCTTTCCTCCCTTTTTAAATTGAGTGCTCGCTTAGCTTCTTCTGATAACTCTCATTTCTGTTTGGTTCTATTTGTAGCTTGCATCACCTCCACCTCTTCAACTCTGAGTCTCTTTTCACGTTTTCCTCCTTCCCCCTCCTGTCAAACATTTCTCACACTGCACTTAACCTCTATCACACCTGCCTCAGCTCTTTTCTATGCTCCATGTCATTCCTGTTTCCTCTCTAGTCTCATCTTTTAAATAGTAAAAAAGAAAAAAAAAACACTTGTTTTATCACTGAAAGATACGATCTATATTTGCAGACTGATCCAAACAAAGATCTGACTTTTTAGTCTCCACACTGACCACAGACACAAACTCAACCCAACAGAAACACTAAGGTGAGACAAAGTTTTCAAGTTCTTTCATTTGCCAGTTTGTATCTTATTTCTATAAGGAATAAAAGCTACTATACAGTGGAAAAGCCAAAACCTATGTGTGATATGGGAGTAGTGAACTGGATTAAACCGCATAAGTTACAAAGCGACATCACACACACATGAACACGGAATTCAAAATGTACAAGTTACGACAATACCACTTGAGCATGGTTTCACATGGAATATCAGAGAAAGATTGGCAGCTGATTAGCAGCCAGTTAGGATGAATACATTACCTCTTGTTGTGTCAAAGCAGAATAAATATTCATAACTTAACAGCACAATCTGTATGGAAAGTGTATGGCTACTCATTTGCATGTGAGAAAGATTTAATTAGAAGTATATACAGATTTTTTTTTAAGCTTCCATCTGTGTAGGATGAAAAAAAAAAGAAAACAACAGAACCTTTCCAAGTCCGATATCTGACCAAGGTGTGAAAAAAGTTTCTTTGGGAATAGTTTCTTTTCTTGGCTGTGTGTTGAGATACAACAGTTCTAAGTAAACAGGTGCCACCTCAGAATCTGTTGTACATGTAAATTCTTATTGATGTGAATAAGAGGATGATTAACATTTATCGTCATTCTGTTCCAGGCCAGTCTTCTTGGATATGTTTTTAAATATCAGCGTCATTAAAATGAGTAACTAGCAGCAGACACAGTAGAACACGCCATCAGAGTGTCAACACTGTCAGTATTTCAAGTGTTACTGCATATGCCATCAAAGAGAAACTGCTCGAGCCTGACTGCTGTGCAATTTTGGGGTTAACTTTATCTTAGTTTGCCAAAAACAGGGACAGAGTATCATAATTTATATCCTTTATGTAGAGATGAGTACTCTTGAATAAAACAAAATAATCACAAGATGACAGGTACACTTTAAACAGTTCGCTGCCTTATCTTGACCTGACACTAAATATCATGTACTAGACTGACTCACCTAAAAAACAGACGAGGACTGGCCAGAATGGCATTACTTAGTAACACCACATAAACAACTACAAGTCACACATACATTCACATGCTATGTGGAATGGTGACTTGTGAGCACGGTGTGCAGAGGGTTGTTACACATGTGCTTCTGAATAGTCCTGACAAATGAGCACAAACATCTGTGACTCTCACTCCACCTATTCTTTCTTCTTCTTCTCTTCCCTCACTCGTTCCCTCTGCCGCTCCTCAGACACACCTCCCCTTTACAAACGAATCCCTGAGGGAGTGAGTGATTGACAAGTGTGCTGCACATGCACACACAAATGACTGGCAAGCATGACATCAGTCAGTGACACCCCAATGACTTCCTGTCATGATGTTTGATTGGCATCTGGTAGGTCCTTTCCCCGTTTCAAGCATGTGCTTCCTAATTATGAAACAATGACAGGCAATATCTGGTCAGAGGATAGCATTGTTTCTTGCATAGTGAGTTTTAGTCAGCGTCTTTGCACAAATTTCAGTGTTGGACGTGCTGCTGAGGTGCGCTCCAGCCGGTTGATGAGAAGCGCTGAGTTGACACCAAATCCACATATAATAATTACAAATAGGAACAAAGGCTAACATATGAAAGGGGCTCAAGAGCCATGATAGGTAAAAAAAATAAATAAATACCGTGCATGTCTCAGTCATGGGTGGCTTGTGGCAAACTTTAAACGACACTTTTTATGGATATCTTTAAGAAATGGCTTTCTTCTTGCCACTCTTCCATAAAGGCCAGATTTGTGCAGTATACGACTGATTGTTGTCCTATGGACAGAGTCTCCCACCTCAGCTGTAGATCTCTGCAGTTCATCCAGAGTGATCATGGGCCGCTTGGCTGCATCTCTGATCAGTCTTCTCATTGTATGAGCTGAAAGTTTAGAGGGAAGGCCAGGTCTTGGTAGATTTGCAGTGGTCTGATACTCCTTCCATTCAAATATTATCGCTTGCACAGTGCTCCTTGGGATGTTTAAAGCTTGGGAAACCTTTTTGTATCCAAATCCGGCTTTAAACTTCTCCACAACAGTATCTCGGACCTGCCTGGTGTGTTCCTTGTTCTTCATGATGCTCTCTGCGCTTTAAACGGACCTCTGAGACTATCACAGTGCAGGTGCATTTATACAGAGACTTGATTACACACAGGTGGATTCTATTTATCATCATTAGTCATTTAGGTCAACACTGGATCATTCAGAGATCCTCACTGAACTTCTGGAGAGAGTTTGCTGCACTGAAAGTAAAGGGGCTGAATAATTTTGCACGCCCAATTTTTCAGTTTTTTATTTGTTAAAAAAGTTTGAAATATCCAATAAATTTCGTTCCACTTCATGATTGTGTCCCACTTGTTGTTGATTCTTCATAAAAAATTACAGTTTTATATCTTTATGTTTGAAGCCTGAAATGTGGCAAAAGGTCGCAAAGTTCAAGGGGGCCGAATACTTTCGCAAGGCACTGTACAGACCTGGTTAATTTTAGGGGAGATAGCACCAAATGTATTAAGTCTCATTCTGCTAGGTCACAGGAGGAGGAGTCATCTTCAGGTCTAACACCCAACTACAGTACATCACACTACATTACAAAACACACACAGACACAAAGCACTGCACCAATCATCCTGCAGGTCACTCGACTGCTCCTCCTGTAAATGTGCACACTCCCATGAATAGCTTAATCCAAACACATGCACACGTACACAATTTCCATTCAAAGCAGACTTTTACAATCCTAAAACACACTCATACTATTTTCTGATGATTTGGATTTAATGGAGCCATCCACCAAATTATACTGCAGCAACAAAGTAAATCCATTTTCTACAATCAACCCTTTCATCCATGTGCACACATTCAAAAACACACAAGCACACACTATGTTCAGATTTGGGCTAATAGGCCTAGCATGGAGCTCAACCATTATAGACCCCACAATGGAGTTAGTCAGTCCTAATGGGCCCTGCTGTCGAGATGGGTTAATAATCCCAACGGTGGAGCACTTTGAGTGTAACAGAGGTGCTGCATTATGACCATCTGGAGAGAGCGAGAGACAGAGGAAAAGGAGAAAGAAGGGGAAAAAAGATATAGAGGACAATGTAATTATAGGCATCAGTGAGAGGTAAGGAAAGGAAGTGGACTCACTGCTCACAGGGGGAGGATGATACTTTTTTACTTTATTTTTTTCCATATTCATACAGTTTATGGGTTCCGGCTGTATCCTTCAATTACTATATGTTTGCTCACAGCCAGCAAACATTCTGTATATACACATCAATTCATGCAAAAGTGTACACACAGAGCAGAGCAACACAACAAGATACAGTATAACTGCAGTAATGCATGATGATAACCAAGCAGGTAAGCATGCATTCATTATTATAGATGCTTATGAATTCATACCATGTTAAATCTGAAAATGAACAGCATGCACACACTTTACAACAACGATCACATAAACGTGATGCACTGGGTTCAGCACTGGCAGTCCCTCTCTATTAATCTTAGGATGTGTCCTTTCCCAGTCTCACCTAATAGATTACCATTTTTTCCATTTGTACAGACAGTCTCTCTCCCTCCGCCAAACCACACACAGACACATACAAATGGCAGAACAGCTAGGAGAATCGTACACTCAACCCACATGAGTCATATTTGCAGAATGTTAGGTTGGTTGTATTAGTAATGTATGTGCAATGTCATGTTACTTGCCAGACTGGTTTGAATAAGGGGTCAGGTAACTATCAGCAATGGCTGATAATCGGATCTGATAATATTTTCTAATTATTGGAATCTTTATTTAGTCTGATTTAATTGCCAAAGGAATAAATACATTAAAAATGTGTTCCTCTGATGCAACAGTCTGTCTCTGAAAGGTTACTGCCTAAACTCTGGCTCAATTTGTGGGAGACATGTAGAAATGAGGAACACAGAATGAGAATTGCATTGCTTTTTTCTCCTTCTTCCAAAAACAAAATAAAACAGATACTGCTAAAATTAGTGGTGTAGCTATTAGCGCTGTTACCCTTGTCCCTCATTCAAACAATACTCCGTTCTTCCTGAAATGTATTGAAATCAAAAGCTCTTTTGTCATGTACCTTCTTGTCTTTGTTTTTCCATAGAATAACATCAACAAGCTGTGAAAAGAGCTCAATTCTTGCTTACTGCTGATCCTCAAAAAAGTCCTGAACATAATTACTGGTATCCCTTAGTAGTTGTCTTAAATAAGTGGACTGTAGTGATATTTCAGGTAAACAAATGCCTTCAGTTAGTATCATGTGTCTTCAGTCTTATGTTTCGTCATTAAGCCTATTTAAATTGAGAAAAGTAGTCATTTTACTGTTGACTGTAGTATGATTGTGTGCATCACATTGAACATGGACAAGAAAAAGAAAAGGAGTTACCAAGCATGATCAAGGTAAAGGCTTCAAGATCATCTCCAAGTAGCTTGAGGTTTCTATGCCCACAGCTGCCAGTATTAATAAGACATTTGAGGTCCATGGGACCGTAGCCAACCCCCATGGATGTGGTCGTAAGAGGAAATCTGACTCTAAATTGAGTAAAATAAAAGTTTGAATGATGGGAAAAGAACCAAACTTTAAAATAGATATAAGCTGACTTCCAAGATAAGGATATAACAATGTCCAGTTGCATCATACATCGTTTTCTGAATGAAAGTGGATTCTGTGGAAGGAAACCAAAGATGACTCCATTTTTAAAAATCTGACAGGATTTTGCTAAAATGGCTGCTAAAAGCCAAAATGCTTCCAGGAGGATGCTCTTTGAATGGGAAAAAACAAGACAAGAACAAATAGGTTCTATGTTCAGAGAAGAAAGAAATAAATCTTTTGAAGAAAACAACACCTTCCCAAAGTGCCCTCGTATGGAATAAAACTTAAACTGGTTCTCACAGTGTATAGAAATACACACACTGTTTTTTCATTCCTTTACATTGACTTACATTCATTTCCTGTAGACTTATCCTAACCTTAACCATAACCACTACTTGCCTAACCCTGACCCCAACCCTAACCTTAAACCATCTTGCCCCCATAAAATTCAGTGATGGCTGAGTCCCCACAATGCGAGTGTGTTCATACGTTTTGGTCCCCATAATGTAAGTAATATAAAGGCATCAGAAACACACACACACACACACACACACACACACACACCATATGAGAAAAATTCACAGTGACCATGTGCCTATTATAGGACATCTGACTGTGTGACCAATCATGTTTTATCGCCACATGAATATTCATGATGGTAGGATAAATACACACACACTGATGACTGGCATATCTGATTGGCATGGCAGGTGGCAGTGGTTCAGATGACAGAGCCAGCTGTCCATCTGAAAGGCCACTTTAGACGAACATTTGGAGGCTGACTTTAATGTCTGGGTTAACAATGTGAATGAAACATTAATATGACAAACTAAATTGTAATCCAGTCCTTTAGGCAATTACAGTATAACTGTGGAAAACAGTGAAGAGAGTCCAACTATAATAGAGAAAATTACAATGAAATCATCATAGTGATGATACCAGTATGTATCATAGCAGCTGGAGCATGTATGAAAACATAATGTGGCAGTTGATAAAGAGATCTTGCATATCAAATGTGTGAACCAACCAATGGTAAACATTTACATTTATTACTGTAAAGCCAGAGACTTTGGAGTAAAGCTGAAAATTCCATACCACCTCTCCCTCAGACCATTAGGCCATTAGGCCAATCAAAGCTGGTCATAGATGAATATGACAAATCAGCACCTCAGCCTAGATTGAACTGTACTGAATAGCAGCAATTTGCCTTCTCAGTCTACCACCATTACATGCAATCAAATGCAGATAGGGAGCTAGAGCTGGATAGACCAGCCCAAGAAAAAAAATGAGAATGGTGCAAAGATTAGGAGGGTAGGGGTGAAGAAAGACAGGTCACTGAAGCATGGCCAGAAAGAAGAGAGAGAAAGATCAAGATTATCACTGGGCTATAATCAAGAACCTCTTATGGTAATGGCAGATGGGGTGTAGAAGAAATGTCTAAAATATCTTATTACATGGTTTCTTAGGGCAGACATGGCAAGATGTGGTGAGGCAACTAGTGATAGGAGGGATGGAGGGGTGGGTACATACAAAGGGATGGCTTGGTTAGACTAAAGTGGATATATTCTCAAGTGTGCTGCATGGACTTTCCAGACCATAATCAAAGGGACTGGTATATACGCAGAAGAAATATATATTAATAGAGGCACTAATGTACTTAAAAGATTGCAAAGACGGTAAGATGGAGTGAAGGAGGTAAAAAATATATATGCATATCTTAAATGAGTCATAACTTGCCTTGGCGCTGTAAGGGAAAAAAACATCAATAGAGGGGTGGGATGGTGGAACAGTGGTTAACACTGTCACCTCACAGCAAGAGGGTTCTGGGTTCAACCCCCACCCAACCTGGTGCCTTCCTGTGCGGGTTCTCCCCAGCTGCTCGCCAACCTGGTGCCTTCCTGTGCGGAGTTTCCTGTGCGGGTTCTCCCCAGCTGCTCTGGCTTCCTCCCAGTCCAAAGACATGCAGCTTAGGTTGATTGGTGACTCTAAATTGCCCATAGGAGTGAGTGAGTGTGAGTGTGTGTGGTTGTTTGTCTACATGTCAGCCGTGTGATAGACTGGCGACCTGTCCAGCGTGTACCCCGCCTCTCACCCAATGTCAGATTCAAAATGTGAATACATATGAAAAGAACATGACTCTTCATCATCGCTGTTCATCACTGGAATGGCTGCATTATACACTGAAAATCTGTCCATCACATGCTGGATAAAAGTGATGTTAACAGATACTGTATTGGTTGTTCTGCATATAAAGTATACACACACACATACTGTATACAGTATATTAAAATAAACACACACAAAGGCAATGCGCTTAAGGCCAGCAGTTTTAAATCATAATCATCTCCCCCTTCTTTCTCTCTCTCCCTTTCACACACACAGTTACTCACCTCAGAAGGCCAAAGCCTATTTTTTTCTTCTTCTCTGCCTCCTCAGGCTCCTCTGCTTTCTTTTTCTCTTTCCATTTCCCCTTGTTCTTTTCTTTCTTCTTTGTTTTTGCTTTATTTTTCTTGTCTTTTTTGCTTTTCTCTTCTATCTGATCTCCCACTCCCTGGCGGGATGAACTACTTGCAGGAGTGTCCCGGCCTGAACTCAGCTCTGAACCATCGTCTAGAGAAAATGAAATAAGAAAATGTTGAGGATTAGAGAAAGTGAGGGAACAATAGTGATTAGTATATTATAGAGCAGTGAAAGAAAAGAACCACGCTGGGTTGGGTCCATTTCCATCATGTTGTTAGATTTAAATCAATAAAACCAGAGACTCAAAATTATTATGTGCATATCCTGAAAGGCACAGTCCACATACAGCCAGACACATGATGTTTAGTATTCTGTACCCCATGGAACTCAACTTTACAGTCAGTTTGTTAATTCTCACAAATAAGAAAGAAAAACTGTGATGTCTCATTACGTCCTTGACAGACTGCAGGCCCACGTGCTTGTACTTCTATCTTTGTGAGGACGCTCACTCACATAATGCATTCCCTAGCCACTTACCCTAACCTTAACCATCAAAACTAAATGTCTAGCCCTAACACCTAACCTAAACCTAATTCTAACCTGAACCCTAAAACCAAGCCTTAATCCTCAAAAAGCTGTTTCAGAAAGTGAGAACTGGTCAAAATGTCCTCACTCTGTAGCAAAAAAATACTTTTTTTGGCCCTCGCTATATAGGAAGTACAAGAACACACACACAGATTACTTGTCTGATCCTATAAGGTAACCAAACCAAATCAGTTACTTCAGCTGAGATTAAATTTTATGTGCATATTCTTTTCATCTTAAATTAGAAAGACTGTCTACAAGCTGAATGGAATCATAATTGCGTGTGTCTGCCTGCAGATCTACAGCCTCATTCTTGTATTGTTCCTGGATAGTCTTCCTTATAAGGAGTTAAAAACTGGAAATGACCACAATGGCCACAGCTGTGAAGTCTAACCTCTGAAAATATTTACAAATGTTTTGTTTTCTCCATTTGTTCATAAAATCTAAACTATAATTAACAAAATATGCACATACCACAATTTGTTCTGATCAGCATAAAGAAAAAAAATGGTCTAATCAGGATGGAATGGGTTGTAACTGGGTGTGAGTCAGTGTCATCAGAATCAAAATCAGAATCAGCTTTATTGGCCAGGTGTGTTGGACGCACGGAGATGTTGACTCTGGTACAGTGGCTCTCAATGTGTATGTACATACTGTATCAACAAGCAAAGGAATGTGCATTAGGAAAAGAGATACAAAAAATAAGAGCAAAGTATTTATAAGAGTAAGTGTTATGTCAGCACCATAGCATAAGTAAACATTTAAGGTAATTAAACTAGCAGTGATAGCGTGTGATTTCCTAGAAAGTATGTCAGATTAAGTTTGCTAAGATTTCAGATTTATCACTGACACATCACATCATATAAAGCCAATAACTTTACTAGGCCACACCAAATGATGTTTAAAATGCAATGAAAAATGTTGAAAGCGCTAAAGCAAGTAAGTTTTAATTGTTATTTCATGGGACACAATTCACCACAAACCAGCGTAGTAAGAATCTTCTCTCCATGTTTACAAGTTATCCCCAACAACTGCTGGGATGTGTGAAAGAAGGAAGAAAATAAAAGTAGCAAACAAAGAAGAAAACGAAGTACAAATGAAACAGGAGTAAGGTAACAGATATGTGAAGGTAGTGCAATATGTGGGCAAAGACCAAAACAGAAAAAAGGAAACTACCATTCATCACAATAATGCATCCCAACTTACATAAGACATGAAAGCCAATGGTTCTAAGGGAGATATTTACTAACTGTAAGCTTCCAGTGACTGAACTTTAATATGGCTGAAGAATTCAACAAACATATACTGGAACTGCAATCACATACTCTTCTGCCAGTCAAATCGCCTTCAATTTCATTCAGTAACTGAAGCATGGTTTGACTGAAAGCCTGTAAAAGACCCTCACATTCTCCTCTGGCAAGCGGTAGGGTTTACAAACGCCTTCCAAATCACCAGTGGTCTGCAAGAAAACCTGCTAATCCACCCCTTAAAAGCTGACAGTGTAGTTGATAAGCATTTGCATTTTATACTAAATTGAAGATCA